GGGGGGGGGGGGGGGGGGGGGGGGGGGGCGTGAGGGCGAGCCCGAAACAAAAAGAACTGACCAATCATGGTGATGACATAACAAACCACCAAACTAGCTTCTTTCGTCTTTTTTTATTGGTTTCTGTACCAGCCTTTGGCTAATGGTAATGGTCAAGTCACTCAAATCCTTACCCCAGGCTTCTACCACCAGCAAATACTTTTGTGAAAATTCAGGAACTGCCTTTGTATCTGGCACAGTTGCTTGACAAAATTCCTGTGGATGGGATGGGACGGGACAGTTGGAGACCCGTGGGTAACTTCATCCTTTTTATTAAGTGATTATACCTGTCCAATTATCAAGTATTCGCAAATCCTAACATAAAACGTAGCCTAACAAGTCAAGTGGATGATTCTTAGACCCGTGGGTTTTTCAATGCAACCCCCCCTTTTATTTCCTCACAAAAACAACTGTGTTTTGGTTTTTTTAAGTCAAAGTTTAGGTTGATCCGTTGAAACTTGTGTTGAGTAGATTTCTAGTTGGGTCTTATCACTATAATGAAAATTGTATTTATTGTACGTATTATTTTTTGTTTTTTGGATTAGGATAGTGGTATAATTGGATATTAAATATATTTGTAATAAGTTTTGAGGTAAATTTAGAGGGTGTTTTAATGAAAGGATTGAATCCTTTTACTGTAGGAGTTCTAAAATATGTCTTTCACACCATCAAACTCCCTGGAATCGATTCTGCAGAGCTTGGGGAACTGGAAAAACTTTTCCAGGACTAGTGATAGATAAATGATAACGCCATGTGTTTGCTAGCCTGCATCAGAAAAATCGACCCAAGGGAGCATCTAGATTTGGGCCTGATTTAAGGAGTCAACAACGTTTTTTGGACAAGCTAATAACAGGCCGAAGGAGGAACAAATTTAGGTTATCTCAGAGTGCTTATCCATAAAAGCTTCAACTTAGCAAATTGTAACTGGCTTAATGCAATTTCTTTCTCTTAACTAAATCAAATATTATAACAAGTTGAGCCAATACTTGGTCTTGCAAGTGGGATACATGTGTGTCGCATGGTGACTGAACCAGATAAGCCTGTGCCACTATCAAGAAATGCAAGAATGGATCCTGCGGCAATTCCAGTGCCCATTAACCTTGTGGGACAGTTTCTACTTGCCATTTGACATAAAGGAGTCAGCCATTTTGTCTGTCTGGTCCAAGAAAGACACGAAAAGCATTAGCATGGATCACCCAAAAGAAGAGGAGTATCGGCCCAGGTTTTGGGGCAACGTGACTGTAGTTGGGGACCGCTTTAAGTTTTTTGCAGTTTGTGCCTGCCATTTTTGGCCTTCTTCTGTTCTCAAAGCTGGTCCATTCCTTGCAGAGGCAAGACGATCATGACGCAGAAACACTGCCGCCCTCAAGAGCTTGTCCCAAGAGACTGATAACCATAAGCCAACTAAAATAGGGAGCAATTCCAGTGGGGACCATGATATTGATGCTGGACCATATCTTTCTAAGTTTTAAAATTTTCATTTTTAAAACAAATTTCAAGTTAATGTTTCTCTAGCGTTCTCACTTTGAAGTCTTGAAGTGAAAAATTAAAAAAAAAAAATTAATATATATTTAAACAATGAAGTGAAAAATTAAAAAAAAAATTAATATATATTTAAACAATAAACATTTAAAAAAAAAAAAAACATAATATGAGAAACTTGATTTTTTTAAAAAAAAAACATAATATGAGAAACTTGAGGTATGGAAGTGTGTAGTGGTGCCACATGAAACTGAAAGTGAAAACTTAAGTTTGTAAATGTTACAACCCTGGGGAAGCTAGAAAGGAGGCCTAGAAAAAGAGATGTCTATGAAACCAGAGTCAGCTACAGACTTGAAGGGGAAGAGGGAAGCACATTTTCACAATATGCTACGAGAACAACCAACTAAAGACAATAACCCTTGAGTTGTTAGCTCAAATTGCAAGTGGGTTTTAATTTTATGTTAGCGTTGGCAATTTCTCTTAAATATAAATTAATTATTAATTACAGTCTTCGTGTATAAAATCTAGTTCGAGTATCACTTTAAATATTATAGAAAAAAAGGGTGCAATTCTCAACTTAGTATAATTATTAAAACCTAACCGAATATGAATATTTGATGTTCAAAACCGAATTCAAATGCTGTAATTGATATTTAAAAAAAAACTTTAAGATTATTTATTTATTTTAAATTAAACTCAAGTTATGGGCATTGATATGATCAAAAAAATTAATGTTTTTTTCTAAATATAAAAGTATTGAAATAATAAATAACCCAATAAGATCGGTATCGAACCACAGGAAAGTGAATTATATAAATTATCAATAATAATGACGACGACGACGACTACTTTGAGATGTAAGATTAATGTGAAGATTAAATAATGATAAAATAATTATCAAGGTTAGAAGATCCACTAATAATATTTCAAACAAGTATA